CACAGTGCGTCTCTCCACCCAGCTATATATTAAACAATTAGATTACGAGCTCGAGATTTCTATTTAAACAATAGAATGTTTCTGTCGAGGAACTATCAGATGATAGTTGCGCCGTGGAAATTTGATGTTCTTAAAACAAATATGCTAGTTTTAAGAACATCAAATTTCCAAGGGGCAACCATCAGACCGATAGTTCAGAGACATAAACACTTTATTGTCATTAGTGTTAACCACTAAATTTTCTTCCGTGTGCCAGTTCAAAAACCAGATTGAATTATTTTCATCTTTATTAGATGAAAGCCGTGACAACAAAATGTAAAATTTGGAAAAAAAAAAAAAAAACCTAAACAAAAACCCACTTAACACAATTTCAATTGTTTATTTTCTATAAGCCTGCTTGTTTACGGGGGAAAAAAAAAAAATTCACGGACGAGTACTGTCCATCCGGGTATTTTCCTCGGACGGGCTTTATATAAACAATAGCCTCCATTTGGCGCGAAAATATGCTCGGATATTTGTCCGCGAGAGCGAAGCTCGAGGAAAACTGTGAGCTTCGAGGAACAGATCATGTCCAAGGACAAATATCCGAGCATATTTTCAAAGTTAAATAGAGGTTATGGTGTTTATTATCCTTCAAATATTTTTCGCAACACGCGCAGTTTCGAAAATTGGGGAATTTTCTCGGATATTCCCCAATTTTAGCTGGGGAATATTCGGTCACGTGACGCGTTTAGACCAATCGCGAGCGAGCGAAAATATTTGATGGATTATAAGGGNCCAGTTCAAAAACCAGATTGAATTATTTTCATCTTTATTAGATGAAAGCCGTGACAGCAAAATGTAAAATTTGGAAAAAAAAACCCAAACAAAAACCCACTCAACACAATTTCAATTGTTTATTTTCTATAAGCCTGCTTGTTTACGGAAAAAAAAATTCACGGACGAGTACTGTCCATTCGGGTATTTTCCTCGGACGGGCTTTATATAAGCAATAGCCTCCATTTGGCGCGAAAATATGCTCGGATATTTGTCCGCGAAAGCGAAGCTCGAGGAAACTGTGAGCTTCGAGGAACAGATAATGTCCAAGGGCAAATATCTGAGCATATTTTCAAAGTTAAATGGAGGTTATGGTGTTTATTATCCTTCAAATATTTTCCGCAACACGCGCAGTTTCGAAAATTGGGGAATTTTCTTGGATATTCCCCAGTTTTAGCTGGGGGAATATTCGGTCACGTGACGCGCTTAAACCAATCGCAAGCGAGCGAAAACATTTGATGGATTATAAGGGTTGATAGTGTCTCTCCGCGGACGAACACCATCGCGTCATGTGATCAATTCAAACCAATAAGAATCGGAGAAGGTTTAGTGGTGAACTATAACGCGAGGGCGCAGCCCGAATCAACTAGTTTGGGAGAATCAACAAGAGAGAGAGAACTCTTGAAAAGCTGTTTAAACACCCACCTGTCGGTTCGTGTTCCCATAGCGTGTCTCTTTCTCCCAAACTTCCACTCGTGTTGTTATTGAACAATTAGATTATGAGTTAGAGATTTCTATCGTATGTTACTTGACGAAGGTGCAGCCCAAGTCAACTATCACGCGATAGAAATCGAGAGCGAATATAATCTAATTGTTTTAGTATAAATCTACTAGTCGTTCAAAACTTTATCTAAATCCTCTTCACAGACACTTTGAAAACGCCAAAAAGCGGACGTCATTTTGTTAACAAGGGCACACTGCTAGGCTACTTGCTATCTATCACAAAATAGATATTGAGTAGCGTAGCCAATCAGAGAACGGCATTCGCAATGGAACGCTAGTAGATTTATATTAAAAATGGATATATCGGCGAATTGATTGATTTATGAATTGGACTAGCAACTTGCCCAGCCATGCTACGGAAACGAACCAAGGGCACCAACCTGAAGCTAAGAGCTTTGGTTTTGAGAAAAGTCTGCTATGTAGCATGCATTATTTTTCCCATTCTATTCTTCCTGTACTTTAACTATCCCATTTTTATTAATTCAACCATAATAATCC